CCGATAAATAACGCACTCCTTTCACCAATTAATATCACCTGCAGGTCGTTAAATATTAAAGAAAATAATACTGCACAAAATCTCATTTATCGCTGCAAAATCCAATTTATCACCGCATAAATTGGTTATTGCTGCATCTTGCATCATCGTCAGTCATTGTTTAAATTAACATAATCCGCTAAATACAGTAGATAAGAAAAAGAGGGGCACAACGATAATGTACTGGTTTGCCCATAAATTCCATCTCATTCAAAGATTGCGGGTATAGGTTTGCTTCGCCGGCTCTGTCTGTAAATATTTGTCTCATTTTATGCAGTCTGCAAATATTTGTCACATTCAATGCATTTTTATTATTTTTAACAACTCAAATAATAGTGCTAGTTTGAATAGCACTATCTTAAATGATAGTGATTTATACAATTTTAATGATAATGATATATCACAATCGAATATGTTAAAATGGCTAATTCGTAAACTCAGATACAATAAATCCGTTGAACTAGGATGACAATTAATTTATGAAACATGACAATTTATGTGAAACATGCATATCTACATACTTAGAGGGATGTAAAATAGAATGTAGTAGGCTAACTATAGACCGATATCTGTCATGTCGGTAGTTACGAAAGTGTTTAATTAAAAAAAGTTGTCTCTAGGCAGTTTTTGGATACGTAGAATCTAACCACTTGCTGTCAGACAGTCAAGTTGGCCAAAGCACATGGCCAAAGGAGAAAGAATTCGATCCTAACTTCAACCTCGTCCCCAGGCTCTTTCCCTCTTGTGGAGGAAAGACCATGGCTGGAGCCAGTCCCGTGAACCCACAGATTTTGGGGATAAATTTGAGATTGATCTCAGGAAGGGGTAGTAGAGGAGTCTGTTTGTTGCGTTGAAAATTGCAACTTTATCACTATGTGCTATAGTTTCGGGTGATAAAAATGTAATTTGCAACTAGAGATCGTGAAAGAAACAGGAACAATTTGGAACAAGTTCCTGTTCTTAATTTGGAAGAGTTACTGTTCCAAATTCGTACTCACCATGACAAGACTTCCTGGTGTTGCGTTACATTTCAAGCGAGAAACTGAATCATATTTCACTTCCAGGGAAAGGACTACTGTATACACGCGCCTGGCTTGCGAAGTTGAGCACGCATCGCCGTAGAAACATACAAGTCTTCTACACTGATTGATCAAACGATATAAAATAAACGATGTGGCTGTTTATACTCCAAGTATATCCTGTCCGATATTCATAAACAATAGTGCTATCTTGACTGTGAAAGCACAGGATTAAAACCCGTTATGGATTGTAAAATTCCTTTCATTTACATTGCTGAAACTCAACGATCAAGAATGATTATGTCGAAATATAGCTATTTGTATCACACGAACGCCAAGACTCCTCCGTGCGTTTCCGTGCGTGCGGTACAACTTGAATATTTAGCTAGGATGACATATGCACCAGACACTGGTATTGTTCCTTAAGGCCCATACAGACCGGACGCGATTTGGCAACGCAACGCGAATTTTCAATTTTTAACTTTAATATTTTTCAATGTTTTTCAAATACTCGGAACCTATTTGGTCTGCATTTGGTCTGAAAATTTTTATCCGTTGACATTTTTGTTTTTTTTGGAAACTGAAAATTCACGTCGTGTTGCCGAATCGCGTCCGGTCTGTGTGGGCCTTTATAGTAAATTATTTCATATTTCATGAATTACAATAATTTACAACAGGTACATCATAAATCACCAATAACAATTTAATTGTTAGAATTTGAATGCCTTAGCGCTCTGTTGGTTCCCACGAGTGCATAAATGGTTGACATAAGTAAGTTTTATGCATAATGAAACTGTTTAAGAAGCTGTTTTTAATTCCCAGGAGCAGAAAATCGCGCACTTTACCAGGAGATTTTCCTAACTAAATTCTAATACATGCACCTTGTCAATATTTTATGCATCATTACGTCCAGCTGTTTGGTAGGGCATTCAAATTTAACGATAAGTGATTTCAATAGTTTTCGGGTTTTTTGGGACACCCTGTATAGTCTTGTATAACGTTGTATGGTGTCGTATATGGTGCCGTATAGCCTTATAATTATAGTGTTGTATAGTCTTGTATACTGTTGTATAATATAGCTTTATATATTGTTATATAGTCTTGTATAACGTTGTATAGTGTCGCATAGCCTTATACAGGGTGTATCAAAAAAAGCGCAACCTCGGAATTTCCCAAGAAATCGACATTGTTTTAAAGACAAAAGATTTTAGGCGCCTGGGAATTTAAAATAGCATAACTGTCAAAATTACTGCACACGCGAGTGCATAAAGCAAAATTTATGCATTTATTTAATGCACAACAACAGTAATATGATCTATTAGCAATTCGATTTCAATTCCCAGGGGCCTAAAATCCTTTTATGCTTAAGAATTGCAAAGTGATTTCTTAGGAAATTCCGAGGTTGCGTTTTTATTGATACACCCTGTATATTGTTGTATAGTTTTGTATAACGTTGTATAGTGCCATATATAGTGTCGTATAGCCTTTATATGTTGTTACATAGTTTTGTATAACGTTATATAGTATACAAATAATGAATGTTTATGAGTGCAATGGTAAGAATATTTTCATGAGGTGAAAGATGGAATGTTCCATTCAACGAGGCGACAGCCGAGTTGAATGGAACATTCCATCTTTCACCGAATGAAAATATTCTTACCATTAGACGAATAAAAACATTCATTATTTGTTTTATAAAATACCAAAATAGACTAATATTAAAAGGTTTACTGTAAGCTCCCGCCATTTTGACGAGTCGTATTTGCATTAAATCCCATTTACTGAGTTTCGAATATCGGGTTAAAATAAACTGTGATCACCGTACGAGAAGCATTTTGACGGATGCGATTTATCGAAAACATAAAGAGTGCAATGGAATAAAACGTATAGTACAATTGCACTCGCAAGAGTGCAATGGAACGTATTCCATTGCACTCTTGGGAAATGGAATTTTCTATTCAATATCACGTGACCATAAACAGCCAATTAAACGATCAGAATTCAATAAGGTATTATACAGGGTGTCTAAAAAAAAACCAAAATCATTGAAATAACGTATTGTTCGAATTTCAATGCCGTAACACAAAGGATTTTGACAGGGTGATTAATTTGTTTTAAAAAATTAAAATATCTTTGTAAAGTGAACGTTTGTTTGCTCATGGGAATTTAAAAATGCTTCGTAAATTGTAATATGCGTAATATGCATTCGTGGGTTTAGTACTTTATGCCTGACATAACAAGTTTACGCTGAGTATTACCATTCATTATAGCAGTTATGTCAATCTTTTATGCACTCGTGGGATTAACTTAGTGCTAGGGCATTGAATATCGAACAATACGTCAATTTCAATGATTTTGGGGTTTTTTGAGACACCCTGTATAATGTTGTATAGTGTCGTATAGCCTTGTATAGGGTGTATCAAAAAAAGCGCAACCTCGGAATTTCCCAAGAAATCGACATTGTTTTAAAGACAAAAGATTTTAGGCGCCTGGGAATTTAAAATAGCACAACTGTCAAAATTACTGCACACGCGAGTGCATATAAAGCAAAATTTATGCATTTATTTAATGCACAACAACAGTAAAATGATTTATTAGCAATTCGATTTCAATTCCCAGGTGCCTAAAATCTTTTATGCTTGAGAATTGCAAAGTGATTTCTTAGGAAATTCCGAGGTTGCGTTTTTTTTATACACCCTGTATATTATTGCGTAGTGTCGTAAGTGTTGTATACTCTTGCATAGTGTCGTATAGTCTTGTATAACGCTGTATAGTATAGTGTCGTATAGTCTTGTATAGCCTTACATACAGTAGTGTTGTATAGTCTTGTATAACATAATTAACATTGGATAGTGTTGTATAGCCTTGTAGAGTGTCATAAGATCATTAATAAGTTCACCTGCTTACAAGATATGTAGCTTTTGACAGTTCTTTGTAAAAAAAAATTATACAGACAGACGAACAGGATATATAATAGTGTTATGCGCTTCTATTATTAGTAGTGTTATGATATATACAGGGTGTATAAAAAGCAACTTCGGAATTTCCTAAGAAATCACTTTGCAATTCTTAAGCATAAAAGATTTTAGGCCCTGGAAATTGAAATCGAATCGCTAATAGATCACATTACTGTTGTTGTGTTTAATAATAAATGCATAAATTTTGCTTTATGCACTCGCATGTGCTGTAATTTTGACAGTTGTGCTATTTTAAATTCCCAGGCGCCTAAAATATTTTGTCTTTAAAACAATGTCGATTTCTTGGGAAATTCCGAGGTTGCGTTTTTTTTCAATACACCCTGTACAGGGTGTCCCCCAAAACGAAAACTATTGAAATAAATGTATTGCTGAAGCACTCTGCTGAACCCACACATGCATCAAAGCTTGACGTAAGTAAATTTTATGCATAAAAAAACCGTTTAAGAAGCTGTTTTAAATTCCCAAGAGCGGAAAATCGCGTGCTTTACAAAGATATTTTAATTTCTTAATAAGTCAATATTTAATATATGCACCCTTGTTAAACTTTACGCATCTTTGGCACTTTGCGTTCGGCTTAGTGCTATAGGGCATTCAAATTTAACAATACGTTATTTCAATGGTTTTTCGGGTTTTTTGGAGACACCCTGTACAGAGTGTATCAAAAAAAAAGTTAATCGAACTTCAGCGCGCTATTATACGTGAATTACTTGGCGTATGAACAATTGGTTTTCATATAAGCATGTACGAGGCCGATTAAAAATGTTAGTCAAAATCGCATATTTTCACCTCTGTGCTTAATTAAAACAATGCATAACAAAAGAAAAAGCAATTAATCACGAACGTGTCGTAGCTTAGCTAAGATTTCTTCCGACTTAATAATTATTATGAATATGTGTGCAGTTTAATGAAGTGAAATTCATCAACTTAAGTCCTAAAGGGGGTTCATATTCAATGGTTTTAGACCCAACTCTCAACGGTGAAAATATATGATTCTGACTAACATTTTTATCGGATTCGTATTTGCTCATTTTTTATCCATTTGGCATGAAGAAGATATCATTCAACAGCTAAAAGCATGATCTTTCCGAATGTGAAAAAATCTCGTTCATACGCAGAGTAATTCAGATGCAATAGCGCGCTGAAGTTCGATTACCTTTTTTTGATATACCCTGTATAATAGTGTTATTATGGTATACATAATAATGTTATATTCGCATTGTTAATAGTATAAACAATCCTTGGATCTTGTGCATTATATTTATCCATTATTAATAGTGTTATTAACTGCGAGTCATTCCAGGTTATTACTCTAGAGGTGACCACACTTGACTTCGTGTCTAAGAATATTATTATTATTATTATTATTATAAATTTCCAAACTAGCAGTAACAACTGAATTACTTTGGAATTACAGGGTATAAGAACATAGGTATTCAATCTATTCTATATTTACAGGTAAAAATAGGTAAGTTAGATAAAAATAACGATAATAATCTAAAGTTTACTTATTATTATAAGCACGAGACGCAGCAGGAATGAAACTGTTCGAAAAACGTTCAGTTCTACACCTAGGTACTAATAAGTTGGGATAAGACCTCAGATTATAATTTTGAAGACTTTTAGGCGGTACTAAGGCATTCAGTTTATGAGTGGGTTCCAACATCTTCGAAAAAAGTCGCTTGCAAACATTCAGCATAGATAGTTCCAGGGAAAATAATTTTAATGCCCTTTTTTGTATTTTTTCAACTTGATCACTCAGGTAATGAGGAAGGCCATAATGCCACACCTGACAAGCATATTCGACAATTGGTCGAATGTGTATAATAGGTTGAGGTCAGAATATGAGAAGGTAAAGCATTTCTTTTAAGAAGGCGCAGACCGTACAAACGCTTCGCGGCTTTCTTGCAAATGTAGTCAATATGGCAGTTCCATTTGAGGTCGTCCGAAAGGACAACGCCCAATAGTTTGGCCTCGGAAACGACGTCGACCTCTTGACCGCGAATGGTAATGGGGGCAAACGATGGAGTAAGCTTAAAAAAGCAGACACGCAATTCTTTGGTCTTTGATACGTTTAACTTCATATTATTGTCTGATGACCATTCAGAGCAGCTGATGATGTTAGCGGGTAACTGGGAAGGGGAATTGTTTGATATTATCTCCCAAAGGCTAGTATCATCGACAAATTTAACAGTTTCATCCACTACAGCCAAGTCATTTATCATGATCAAAAATAATAGCGGGCCAAGCTTCGTTCCTTGTGGGACGCCGGCGTTTAAAACCTTCCACTCAGAAAAGAACTGACCAACACGGGTTCTTTGTTGTCTGCCTGTTAGGAAGTTTGCGATCCAGTTGAGTAACACGGGATGAATTTCCATGTCTTTCAATTTTTCCAACAGAATGTTATGATCTAATCTATCAAACGCCTTGGAAAAATCAAGTAAACAAATCCATATAGTGTTACCTTGTTTGTCAGCTGCTTCAAACCATTTATGTAGCATGTAGATTAATGCCATATTTTATATATAATGCTATTTTATCTAAAATATTCTCTCCTCTAGTCGCGTCTTTGACTAACTGCTTGAGGTTAAAGGAACTGCATAACTGGCGATGTTTAAATTGGTTAAAATCTCCGGCCAAAATAATTCCAGCACCGGGATTGGTGGAAAGGACAGAATCAATTGATTCGGTAAGCCCGTTAGCGACATTTGTAAGCAGTTACGACCAATTTCACTTACTGCCGCTATTTCGAAAATCGCTGAGGACTGTGTTGTTAAAAAATACATTGCTCCAGCTATCATGAGTATAATCGATCCAAGTCAATATGGAGTAATACCAAGAAGTTCAACTACTCTCGCTGTTATATCTATGATCCATGAATGGTCGCTAGCTACTGATGGCACTGGCTCTGCTGTCAGAGTCATCCTGTTCGATTATAGAAAAGCATTCGACCTTATCGATCATGCTTTACTGGCTGATAAAATTTCCAATTTAGCTATTCCACGTGCGGTTGCTCGTTGGACAATCGATTTTTTGATGAATCGAAAGCAGAGAGTGAAATTATCCAATGACTGTTATTCGGAGTGGGGTGATGTACTCTCCGGTATCCCTCAAGGTACAAAATTAGGGCCCTGGCTATTTTGTTTAATGATAAACGATCTTGATATTTGTGATATATCGAGGTGGAAGTTTGTTGATGATACAATAGTTGCTGAAGTAGTTAGTAAGGACACAGAGAGCCGTGTTCAAGTCGCAGTTGATGTTGTGGAAGATTGGTCGAAGGCAAATGGGCTATCTCTTAACGCTGAGAAATGTAAAGAACTGAGAATCGATTTAAAAAAAATTAAACAACCTTTTGATCCTGTACTGGTGGGTGGAGAAGCATTGCCTATAGTTGAGAGGGCAAAAATATTGGGTCTTGTTATGACAGGCACACTTCAGTGGAAAGATAACATCAGAGAGAGTATAAAGAAAGCTAATAAACGCCTCTATTTTATAGTATTATTGAAACGGGCAGGCGTAAATGTCAAAGATGTTTTGAACTTTTATTGTACAGTGATCAGGCCTGTGCTCGAGTATTGTGCGCAAGCCTTCCATCATTCCATCCCAAAGTATTTGGCAGACGAACTTGAGACTGTCCAGAAACGTGTGGTAAAAATTTTATCTCCTGAAATGACATATTGTGAGGCCCTTGAGTATTATAGACTGCCTACTCTATTTCAAAGAAGAGAGGACATGTGTGACAAACTCTTTACGAGTATCATCAAGGATCCAATGCATAAACTTCATCATCTGCTGCCCCCGAAGAACGAGACTGATTATTCTTTCAGGACGAATCGGTATTTTAATATGTACATTACACGCACGAACCGCTTTTATAACTCCTTCATCCCTGCTATGTGTAGGAAGTTTGTAGGATAGATTTTATGCTTATTTTAATCGAATTTTGATCGAGGGTGGGTTTTATAATATTGTATTAATAATATATTTATATGTAGTGCATGTGATAATATGTAATCCACGCAATTCAGCTTCTGGCTGCAATGTGGTTTCAATTTAATAATAATAATAATAATAATAATAATATTTATAAGGTGTGAAAGAAGGGCTTTATCGTCACTTCCAGGTGGATGGTACACGATTCCCAATACAATTGAGTTTAAACCACGAGGCAAGCGGTGAGGTTTTAAGAGTAACCAAAGCGACTCATATTCGTGACTTTCAATCTCTTTAAGATGAATGAAAGGAAGCATGTCCTTTACAAAGACACAGACACCTCCTCGTCTGCCGTCAGAACGATCATGCCTCAGTAAGGAATAACCGCATAAATCTATTGCTGAATTGGGAACATTTGAAGAAAGCCACGTTTCGGTAACAACGACAATGTCTGATGTATAGAATTTTACTGTAGCAGACAGTTCGTCAATCTTGCTGATCAGCGATCTTGAATTAGAAACAAATAAATTCGGTAGAGAAGAGAGTAAGGGCGTTTTTTTGGTTTGGTGGCCACTAATGTAAATTAAATTATTTCTACGGTTGAAACTTTTCCCTGACGGGTAATAACTTGAACGGGTCACTCTCGTATGACGATGGGAAACTCGGACGGGGATAGTGTAGGACGGCAATGTTACATTCTGGTTATCCGGCTGAGCAGATCTAAATGTCTGTACCAATCCGGAGCACGGTGGTACGAACGCCGTATCCGAAAATTTTGATGTGCTACGCCTCTTGGGGGAGTAACAGGTGTACGCATCAGAAGGGAATGAATACCCTTTTGCGATTGTGGGGGTTTCGAGAGTCCATTCTGTAATTTCTTAAAATGAGTTTTTCCTTGTTTGTTCGCTTTGCCTTTATTTCATCATGTTGGTTTAGCTGTTTAGGAAACTGCTCAATCAAAGGGAGTCGACTTATCCAATCAGAATAACTTAGTTTATGGTGTTTATCGTAGTGTTTACTTGGCTTGCCGACGTAATGCGTGATTCCTTCTGGATTAAGTAATTTCGATTTAGGGTATGTTGTTGTATGCTTGGTTGATTTAGGCCCTTTATGTGATAGGCTATCATTTTCGCTCGGTTGAGAACATTCTGTTGGACTTCGCAATAAGGCAGCACATTGATTGTCAATAACGGGTATGTGACACTCGGCATTGTTACAACTAATTTCTCAATTATTCTCTGCCATAAAAGAAACATTGGTACCGCTAATATCTGGTGCGGGCACTAAATTTGGTTCTGTCTGAAGAGAAGCGTAGGTGTCTTTAAACTCGGCAACTTGAAGATCGTTAAATGAGCGGTTATTGTTATCTTGATGTTCGGTTTGGCTTTGTTTCGAAATTGCCAACTTTGTACGATTAAAGGAGACAGACTTCTCATCAATGTGGTTAGGTTTAATATTGTTCGTTGTCTCCAAATTTATGCACATATTTGAGGCTCGTAGTTGGTCATTAATCTTTTCAACAGTACTAATTTTACCCTGAAGGGAAGTTATTATTTCATTAAGTTCCTCAACCTCAATATTTCGTTCTCTTACTAGCAAAGCAAGATCAGATTGAAGGCGATTACTTTTTTCTTTTTCACAAGAGAGATCATG